ATAGGGGTCCACCCTACACCCTACACCTCCCACCCTAGCCCTGTTATAGGGGTCCACCCTACACCTCCCACCCTAGCCCTGTTATAGGGGTCCACCCTACACCCTACACCTCCCACCCTAGCCCTGTTATAGGGGTCCACCCTACACCTCCCACCCTAGCCCTGTTATAGGGGTCCACCCTACACCTCCCACCCTAGCCCTGTTATAGGGGTCCACCCTACACCCTACACCTCCCACCCTAGCCCTGTTATAGGGGTCCACCCTACACCCTACACCCTCCCACCCTAGCCCTGTTATAGGGGTCCACCCTACACCTCCCACCCTAGCCCTGTTATAGGGGTCCACCCTACACCCCTGCACCTCCCACCCTAGCCCTGTTATAGGGGTCCACCCTGCACCCTACACCTCCCACCCTAGCCCTGTTATAGGGGTCCACCCTACACCTCCCACCCTAGCCCTGTTATAGGGGTCCACCCTACACCTCCCACCCTAGCCCTGTTATAGGGGTCCACCCTACACCTCCCACCCTAGCTAGGGCTGGGCAATATGGCCTAAACGTCATTTTTTTCAAACTTATGGGCAATTCACAATATATATCTCAATTTATTTTATGTTTTCTCTAAATAAGCTTTGTTGTACAGTTAAAGGTCAAATACACTGCATTTAAAACAGTCAGCAATAATCTAATGAATTCAGGGCATGTGAAGTTATACCTAGGATAAATATAAGCCTTCCACAGCCATAAGAAGGGCGGCAGGTAGCTTAGTGGTTAAGAGCGTTGTGCCAGTAACCAAAAGGTCGCTGGTTCTAATCCCCCAAGCCGACTAAGTTAAAAATCTGTCGATGTGCCCTTGAGCAAGGCACTTAACCCTAATTGCTCCTGTAAGTCGCTCTGGATAAGAGCGTCTGCTAAATGACGTAAATGTAAAAAGACTCACAAATAATGTCATTATTTTATCAAAATAAAATAATATTAACTTGCATATTTGCTTTCAATAATCACTGATCTGGCTTTCAAGTCTGTCTATGAAAATGCACTTTTTTTGTTATAATTTAACTAGAACCATGCATAATGCACATTCACTAATAATGACTAACTTCTTGTAGCAGGCATTAGGCTATAGGAAATTAACCCAGATCTCATCAACAATCTCTCAAGCCCACGTGCTAGATATTAGCCAGCTAATCTTTACATTTCAAGTTTAGCCAACTTGGATCTATTTGTTAGCTAACAAGGTTGAACAGTTGAATTGTTATGAACACACCCTTCTGTCCGTCTCCAACTGTTTGAAAAGCATGTTAGCCTGTCCACTTTGTTCAGATGTTGAAATCGAGTGGCCTACATTATTTCTCAGAATGAGTTGCCATTTCCTTATATAATTGTGTTTTATGCATATGGCACATTTATAAAACATTTATAAAACAGCTAGTATAAGTCTTTGGCTAAAATGCTGCTAGTGGTACGTGGCACTCCAATGCCGAGCGCGACAAACTGAGTTCATTGTCGAGAAAGAATATTCATTGATACTCTCGTTTTAGTAGTGTCTGTTCTGCGCGCAATTTTACTAGTTGAGACATAAAAAGGGTATCGTTAGAAAAGTTACCTTCTCCGAATTACAGTCAAATAATGGTTCAATGTGTTTAGGTGTCCATATGACCGACTATGTTGGACCAAACCTCAAATGCAAAATAGCGAGTTGAAACCTCTATTCAGAGATGAAGATGTGATAGCTCAACTTTGTTGGCGTGAGAGGCAGGGGAGAGGATTGGTGTGTGTGTTAACCATAGAGGAAGAGGCGAAGCAAGAGGTTTTACTCTGGCTAAAATCGGTCAAAAATAAGGCCAATGCATTTCTATGGGCTTATTTTGGACCTAAGCTTGTCGCCTGCCTTTCCGCCTTTGGCACAACGACTCCCATTGTTAGGGCGGAGACGCGCATCTCGTCATTATATACAGATCTCTGGTGTAAATGGTGCGGTGCACGCAGCGCAGAGGAAGGAAAGAGACAAAAAAGACAATAGGAGAACAAGCAGACAAACGCTCATAAAAACCACAAATAACAAAACCTTGATTCTTGCGATACAGGCATTTGGAATATCGCGCAAAAAACACACATTCGAATTAATCGAATGAATTCTATATATCGGCCGGCCCGAACTCTAGCCCTGTTATAGGGGCCCATCCTGCACCCTGCTCCCTACACCTCCCACCCAGGACATGTTGCAGGGGCCCACACCCTGTCCCTGTTCCAGTCAGGAATGTGGAGAATGTTGTGTCCACAGTAGGGGGCCTTTCTCCCAGGCCCCGGGAGACCAGTCTGCTGGCTAATGACTAACCAGATGACTGACCAGACCACCAGAGTGTTAAACCAGGGAGGGAGCCATTATGTTACTGACCCAATCACAGGGGGAGGGAGAGTATATCTCCATCTCGCTCAGAGGTAGAGAGAGAGAGAGAGAGAGAGAGAGAGAGAGAGAGAGACGAGAAGAGAGCGAGAGAGCATGAGCGATAGCGCGTAGAGAAGAGAGGAGAGAGAGGAGAGAGAGACGAGAGGAGAGAGAAGAGGAGAGATCGATAGAGAGGCGAGACGAGAGTAGATAGATAGTAGAGGATCGCGGAGAGATAGATAGCGAGATCGAGCGAGACGCTCATCTCTCTGGTCTCTGATCTATCCTCTCTAATAGCGAGATATATACTCTACTCGCGTCTGCTCTCGATATCTCTCTCTCTATCTCTCTCCTCCAATCCAATCCACTCCATCCCCTACCTCCCATCCCTCCCTCCCGAATATTGTACCATTGGTGTATTATGCTACATGTGATGTCCATTATAGCCCATTGAAGTCAATGTTTATTTCTTCAATAGAGAAAAACACAATTTAAAGAAACATTTGAGTGAATGCTGGTTAAGAAACCGTTGTCTCAATTCAACACATGTAAATGTAAGGGGGGGATACATATTACTTTGGTAATATAACAATCAGCATACAGAATAAAACGGTGCTCTCCAAAACAGAGGATTTGTCAGGATAACAACAACTACAAAAACGTCATGCATTGACAGAGTGATCTTCACAAGCCAACTTGTCACGGAGTACAGAATGTACCAGCTAGCTACACAGGACATAGATTTGACAGACTTTACAGTCTCGTCACAGCTAACAAACAACTCTCTCTCACACCACTACAACCCACAGCATCGTCAGTCCAGACACACAGAGACTAGGCATGCGTCCCAAATGGTACCCTGTCCATATACAGGGCCCACAGGGCTCTGGTCAAAAGTAGTGCACGCTATAGGAAATAGGGTACCGTTTGGGGACGCCCCCGAGGCCCTGAAAAAAGTATGATTTTTGGGATTGGGCTTTCTCAGCAGACAGGCTGAACGCCCGTATGGCTAAAACAATGATCCTCCTTATTAGCAGTGCTGAAGGCGGAGTCCCCCAGGGCTGTGTCTCAGCGCCCCTAAAGATTGACGGTTCGGTGTAGAACAGGCCTGTATATAGATGGTTCCATGTTTTAGAAAGGCCGGGATAAGATGGTTCCATGTTAGAACAGGCCTGTATATAGATGGTTCCATGTTAGAACAGGCCTGTATATAGATGGTTCCATGTTAGAACAGGCCTGTATATAGATGGTTCCATGTTAGAACAGGCCTGTATATAGATGGTTCCATGTTAGAACAGGCCTGTATATAGATGGTTCATGTTGACAGGCTATATAGATGGGCCCTGTTAGAAAGGTGAATAGATGGGTTCCCTGTTAGAACAGGCCGTTAAAAAGATGGTTTCCCTGTTGAACAGGCCTGAATAGTGGTTCCATGTTAGAACAGGGCCCGTAATAGTGGTTCAGTTAGAACAGGGGATATAGATGGTTCCTGTTGAACGGCCCGTATATAGAGGTTCCCTTTAAAAAGGCCTGATATAGATGGGTTTCCTGTTAGAAAGGCCTGTATTGACATGGACCCCTGGGACTCAGGATATCCTTCAGACCGGCTGCCTGTGACGGGCTGGTGTTCAGTGGATTAGTTGTGTGAGCTAGCTAACTAGCTACCCTAGTGAGAATAATTCACAGCTTGGGTAGTCCTTTGGTCAACGGGCATATATTGAGGGAATAGGGTTCACTACAGAATGTTAATGTTAAGAGAACGGTGGCACATAATACAGAATCTATGAAGCTTGCTTCCAAGTATCTACCAGTAAATACAAGCTTTGGGTTTCCCCTGTTCCCCAAAAAAGGGGCCCGTAGGGGCCTATCTTGAGGGGGGGGGGGCAACATTTCCTAACTTTTTCCAAAAAAAAAAACAAAAATTTAAAAAAAAAAAAAAAAAAAAGAAAAAAAAACAAAAAAAACACAAAACAAAAAATTAATTAATTTTAAGCCAGCGGGAAGAAGGGGGGAGTGGCGGCAGGGACGGGCAGAGCCCCGGACCCGAGCCCGCAGCGCACGGACGGGGCAGAGAAAAGAAGGGGGCGGGGGGAGTGAGGAAGGGAGATCCGGGTTCCTGTTTAAAAAGGCCCTGTATATAGAGGGTTCAGTTAAACGGGCCCTGATATAGATGGTTCCATTTTTAGAACGGCCTGTAATGGGAATGGCCCCATGTTTAGACCGGCCCTTTGTTAGGGTGGTTCCCAATTTTTTGGGACAGCCTTTTTATATGAGAATAACCGGGATTTTTTTAAAGGAAAATTTGGGGGAAATGGGCCACGAATGTTTTTAGGGGGGAATTAGTTTTAAAGCTGTTTCCAAGTACTAAGAAATAAAAGTTTGGGTTTCCCCTTGTTCCCCGGGCTTTTTTTGGGGATTTATGAGTTTTTTTAAGAGATTTTGACTATCAAATTTTTTCCTTCTTTCCAATTATTTAACAAAACAACCTTACCCTCTTCCCCTCAAAACACTTTTCTTTTATTTTTTTAGACTATTTTTTTATCTATATCATCTATTATCACTATCAATCTATCTTTTATCATCTATCTATCTATTTTTATTACCCCTGTTTTATGGTGATGAAGGTGGTGGAGTTGGTCTGGTCATGGTGATTCTGGGCAGAGCCCCTCCTGGACCCTGAGATCCAGTCAGCTGCACGGTACGGGCTAGCAGAGTACTGCAGGGGGTCTGGAGGGTTTTGGGGGAAAACCGGGGAAAACCGGGGATCACCCGTCTATTCCCAAAAACCGGGGGCCCCGTCTACCCTGTGTCTACCGTCTTTTAAATGCGTCTTTTTTCTACCTGTCTGTTCCCGTTTTCTACCTGTGTCTACCGGTCGTTGTTGGAGGGTATGCACCGGGAAACCCTGGGAGATCACCTGTTATCCCCCGGTTTTGTCTCTGTCTATCTACTGTCTATCTACCGTCTGTTTTTGGAGGGATGAACCTGGGGAAACCGGGAGACACCTGTCTATTACCTGTTGTCTGTCTGGAGGGTATGCACCTGAGGAACCTGGGAGATCACCGTTTTTCCCGCTGTCTACGTTGCTGCCTGTTTTTGCCTGCGTCTGCCGTCGTCTCCCGTTGTCTGCCGTTGTGTCTACCTTTTATTCCCTGTCGTCTACTGTCGTTGTTGTTTTTCCTGTCGTTACTTTTGCGGGTTGTCACCGGTCTATACCTCTGTCAAAGTCGTCTACCGTCTGCTGCCTGTTGTCTGCTACCTGTTGGTCTCCCTGTCTGTTACGTCTGCACTGTTGTTACCTTCTGTTGGGGCCGTTTTTTACCTGTCTGTTATACTCTCGTCACCTGTTGTTACCGTCTTTTGCTGTTGTTGTTATTTTGTCGCCGTTGTTGGTTTTTTGTTTACCGTCGTTAAATGTCTGTTTGCTGTCGATGTTGTTAGTTGTTATATCTTGCTATTGTTCCCTGTTTTTGCCTGTATGTTTTCTGTCTGTTTTGTCTACCGTTTGTTGCGTCTGTTGTTATTTTTATCTACCCTGTCTGTTATGTTGTTGGTTTTCTGTCTGTTACCTGTCTGTCTGCTGGTTCCCTGTCGTCTATATTCTGTCTACGTCTGTTACCTGTCTGTCTGCAGTCTGTCTGTTACTTTTGCTGCCTTCGCTACCGTTGTTATTTTGTTACCGTTGTCTGCCTGTTGTCTCCCCTGTTGTTAAAATTCTGTCTACCTTTGTCTACCGTCTTCTGCCTGTCTGTCTTCCCTTTTCTGCTGCCTGTCGTTGTGTTGTTACCTGTTTTCCCTGTCTGTCTGCCTGTCTGTCTCCCCCTGTCGTTACCGTCTTCTACCTGTCGGCTACCGTCTGTCTGCCTGTCTGTCTACCTGTCTGTTGCCTTTTTGTCGCCTGTCTGTTACTGTCTGTCTACCTGTTGTCACCTGTTGTCGTCTGCCTGTCTGTTACTGTCTGTTCCCCTTTTGTCTGCTGGTTACCTTTTTGTTGCCTGTTGTCTACCTGTCGTCTTTTACTTCTTTTCCCCCGTTGTCTTACTTCGTTGCCGTGTCAGTCTGTCTACCGTCTGTTACCGGTTGTTTCCCGTCTGTTATACTCCTGTTGCTGTCGTCTCCCTGTCTGTTTCCCTGTCGTTCCCTTTTCTACCTGTCGTCTTACCCCTTGTTCCCTTTTTACCTGTTGTCTACCTGTTGTTCCCGTTATTACCGGGTTCCCTGTCGTTCCCTGTTTTTACTGTTGTCTCCCTGTCTGTCTAGTTGTTTACCCTCTGTCTCCCTTTTTCCCTCTGTCTTTACCTTTGGTTACCGTCTATCTACCGTCTGTTACCTGTCTGTCTACCTGTCTGTCTGCCTGTCTGTTCTACCTGTCTGTTATACTCTCTGTATGCTGTCTGTTCTACCCTGTCTGTCTACTGTCTTCTGGCCTGTCTGTCTAACTCGTCTGTCTGCCTGTCTGTCTGCCTGTCTGTCTATACGGTCTCCCTCTGGAGGCCTTCTCCAGAAGCTGAGCCAGGGGGGTAGGGGAGTGGAGGAGCTGGCGACAGAGGTGCTCTTCGCACCCCGTGAAGGGCTCCAGTAACACGGGGTGGACTGGGACCGGGGGTGGGAGACACCCCTCCTCCTCCCACAGACACCCCAACGTCGTCCCCTGTCTCCCCCAGCCCCTCAGCCTCCCTGTGTTGGGGATGGGTAGTCTTCTCAGAGCTGGTTTCAGGGGACGGATGGGGCAACGCTGGAGCTGGGACTGGGACTGTGGCTGTCTCAGGTTGCTGCTGCTCTCAGCCTTGGACCAAGTGATGCCCAGTCTGATCAACAGCACCTCTCTCCTCCCCTGGGTTGGAGCCCTTGGTTCAGTCCACTCAGTCCTTCCTTGGGTTAAAGCCTTTGGATCGGTCCACTCAGAGGAGTATGGAGGGGGGTTATCTCTCAGAAGGTGTGGCTCGAATATGTATACTTTCTGAGGACCGATGGTGTTAGATATAGCGCAGGTGGATGTAGAAGAGAGGACTCTGGGATACGGTGGTTTTCTATCTTCCTCTGGCTTCCTGGTTTGTGTGTCGTTGTCAGGGGTGATGGGGTACACGGCCTGCACCACGGGGCTGTGGAACGTGATGCGTTGGGTCTTGGGCGGAGGTGGATCAGAGATGATCTTGGACGTGGTCACAACAGGTACTTTGAGGAGGTCCTCCTTATTATTAAAACTCTTCTTCAGACCAACAGCCTCCTTCTCTGGAGGTCCAGGGGGAACATCTCCCTGCTTCTTCAGACCAACAGCCTCCTTCTCTGGAGGTCCAGGGGGAACATATCCCTGCTTCTCAGGCCTAGAGCAACAGGTGATAGACAAAATGTGAATGGAGACTGAGAATTCAGTCTTACCATTATGCAAAGCAGAGAGAGGCAGAGACAACAGCTCCTCTCCACCTGCCTCCCACTCTCCCCCTGCCTCCCTCTCTCCCCCCTGCCTTCCCTCTCCCGCCTCCCTCCTGCCTCCCTCTCCCCCCTGCCTCCCCCTCCTCCCAACTGCCTCCTCCTCTCCCCTCCTTCATCCCCCCTCTCCCTCTCACCCCCTTCCTCCCCTCCTCCAACTTGACCTCCCCCCCTTCCTCCCCCTCCTCCCACCATGCCTCCCCCCTCCCTCCCAACTGCCACTCCCCCCTCCTCCCACTGCCTCCCCCCTCCTCCAAACTGACCTCCCCCTCTACCCCCCTGCCTCCCCCTCCTCCCAAAACTGCCTCCCCCTCTCCCCCCTTCCTCCCCCCCCCCTCCCACATGGCCTCCCCCCTTGCTTCCCCCTCCTCCCAACTTGCCTCCCCCTTTCCCCCCTGCCTCCCCCCTCCTCCACAACTGCCTCCCCTCCTCCAAACTGCCTCCCCCTCTCCCCCCTTCCTCCCACTCTCCCCACTGCCTCCCCTCTTTCCACCCTGCTTCCCCCTTCTCCTCCTGCCTCAGGCAGCACCAGCCTTTAAATCATTAATAAGCAGAAAATGAGACCTCCTATGTCTGCTGCCGGAGATATTGACTAGGCACTTCTTTCTCCTCTTCACCTCTCTTTTCATTTCTTCATGAATTTAATGAACAAGACACTCATATTTAGAGGAGCTAAAGCTGTGAAAAACCAATTGCTGTATGTAGACTATACCAGGGGAGGGATGATTTCTGTATGTAGACTATACCTGGGGAGGGATGATTGCTGTATGTAGACTATACCTGGGGAGGGATGATTTCTGTATGTAGACTATACCTGGGGAGGGATGATTGCTGTATGTAGACTATACCTGGGGAGGGATGATTTCTGTATGTAGACTATACCAGGGGAGGGATGATTTCTGTATGTAGACTATACCTGGGGAGGGATGATTTCTGTATGTAGACTATACCAGGGGAGGGATGACTTCTGTATGTAGACTATACCTGGGGAGGGATGATTTCTGTATGTAGACTATACCAGGGGAGGGATGACTTCTGTATGTAGACTATACCAGGGGAGGGATGATTTCTGTATGTAGACTATACCAGGGGAGGGATGATTTCTGTATGTAGACTATACCTGGGGAGGGATGATTTCTGTATGTAGACTATACCAGGAGAGGGATGATTTCTGTATGTAGACTATACCAGGGGAGGGATGATTTCTGTATGTAGACTATAGAAAAGTATCTAACCTGTACCCAGCTCCACCTGGGGGTCTCTCCTGGCGCAGCGGCTCATGGGTTCTGGTAGATTTGATGATGGGTGGAAATGCGGAACATCTCAGGTAGCCAGTACCCCTCAATTCCAGATTGCCTCTGTGACAAACATAAAGACACATACACTGAGTACACAAAACATTAAGGACACCTGCTCTTACCATTACATACTGTAGACTGACCAGGTCAATCCAGGTGAAAGCTATGATCCCTTACTGATGTCACTTGTTAAATCCACCTCAATCAGTGTAGATGAAGGGGAGGAGACAGGTTAAAGAAGGATTTTTAAGCCTTGAAGCAACTGAGACATGGATTGTGTATATGTACCATTCAGAGGGTGAATGGGCAAGATAAAATATTTAAGTGCCTTTGAACAGGGTATGGTAGTAGGTGCCAGGCGCATCGGTTTGTGTCAAGAACTGCAACGCTGCTGGGTTTTTCACGCTCAACAGTTTCCCGTGTGTATCAAGAATGGGCCACCACCCAAAGGACATCCAGACAACTTGCCACAACCGTGGGAAGCATTGGAGTCAACATGGGGCCAGCATCCCTGTGGAACGCGTTCGACACCTTGTAGAGTCCATGCCCCCGACGAATTGAGGCTGTTCTGAGGACTTAAGGTGTTCCTAATGTGTGGTAAGCTCAGTGTATACACATGGTGTTATATTGACTCCATATGCTAATGTAAATTCAATCCAAAGCGTTTTTTCCTCAGGGACAGGAAGTGATGCGTGTCGAGGAGTGCTCTTGATAGAAACACGTCAATAAAAGGAGGAGTAGAAAACAAGCGAGGAAGTACCTGGGGTCAGGATGAATCTTAGTGACAGGGGGCAGTCTGAGCTCGGGGACGACGTGTCTCTTGGGGAACCCCCATGACCTTTTGACCTTCGAGGCGTGACTCAGGGAGCTTCTCATACCGGGCATGCTCCGTAGGCTCAGCGTCTCTTCCTCGTCTTCCTCATCCAGGCCTCGTCGTCTCATTCCGCCAGGCAGCGGGGGCAGATCTCTGGTCACGTCCTGAACAAAATTAAAACGCAGGGGTTTACGTTCACGTGACTCTCTGCCTGAACCCCAAATCCACCTCTAGCCCGTATCGCTTACACCAATCCGATCTTTTCAGATCTACGGGATGCCATAGACGGTATAACACAGGGGTCAATTTGGGATCTAACGATCAACCGCTGTGCATTGATCATTTCAAGAAGTCTGTGCTTTTCGCCAAACCCTTACTCCAGAGTGTTCTTGAAGAGAGAATATCAACCGTGTGAAGACGACGTGCTGGCTGCCGTTCCTGTACTTTACCTTGCGGTGCTGCAGGTAGACTGGCTCTGAGTAGTAGGAGGGGGCAGGGGAGACGGTCTCTCTGTGGGGTGACTGGGTTCTCTTCTTGATCCTGGGGAGGTGCATCTTAAGGAAGTGCTACTGATCAGAGGGCCTGTCCACAAGATAAATGGAGAAGGAAGCAGGGTTATATATATAGTTGGTACCTATGAAGCTAACTTTTTAAACCTGTTGTACAATTTTTCTCACAGCTTGAAACTGTCTGCATCATCAACTTACAGTGGGGGAAAAAAGTATTTAGTCAGCCACCAATTGTGCAAGTTCTCCCACTTAAAAAGATGAGAGAGGCCTGTAATTTTCATCATAGGTACACGTCAACTATGACAGACAAATTGAGAAGAAAAAAATCCTGAAAATCACATTGTAGGATTTTTTATGAATTTATTTGCAAATTATGGTGGAAAATAAGTATTTGGTCACCTACAAACAAGCAAGATTTCTGGCTCTCACAGACCTGTAACTTCTTCTTTAAGAGGCTCCTCTGTCCTCCACTCGTTACCTGTATTAATGGCACCTGTTTGAACTTGTTATCTGTATAAAAGACACCTGTCCACAACCTCAAACAGTCACACTCCAAACTCCACTGTGGCCAAGACCAAAGAGCTGTCAAAGGACACCAGAAACAAAATTGTAGACCTGCACCAGGCTGGGAAGACTGAATCTGCAATAGGTAAGCAGCTTGGTTTGAAGAAATCAACTGTGGGAGCAATTATTAGGAAATGGAAGACATACAAGACCACTGATAATCTCCCTCGATCTGGGCTCCACGCAAGATCTCACCCCGTGGGGTCAAAATGATCACAAGAACGGTGAGCAAAAATCCCAGAACCACACGGGGGGACCTAGTGAATGACCTGCAGAGAGCTGGGACCAAAGTAACAAAGCCTACCATCAGTAACACACTACACCGCCAGGGACTCAAATCCTGCAGTGCCAGACGTGTCCCCCTGCTTAAGCCAGTACATGTCCAGGCCCGTCTGAAGTTTGCTAGAGTGCATTTGGATGATCCAGAAGAGGATTGGGAGAATGTCATATGGTCAGATGAAACAAAAATATAACTTTTTGGTAAAAACTCAACTCGTCGTGTTTGGAGGACAAAGAATGCTGAGTTGCATCCAAAGAACACCATACCTACTGTGAAGCATGGGGGTGGAAACATCATGCTTTGGGGCTGTTTTTCTGCAAAGGGACCAGGACGACTGATCCGTGTAAAGGAAAGAATGAATGGGGCCATGTATCGTGAGATTTTGAGTGAAAACCTCCTTCCATCAGCAAGGGCATTGAAGATGAAACATGGCTGGGTCTTTCAGCATGACAATGATTCCAAACACACCGCCCGGGCAACGAAGGAGTGGCTTCGTAAGAAGCATTTCAAGGTCCTGGAGTGGCCTAGCCAGTCTCCAGATCTCAACCCCATAGAAAATCTTTGGAGGGAGTTGAAAGTCTGTGTTGCCCAGCGACAGCCCCAAAACATCACTGCTCTAGAGGAGATCTGCATGGAGGAATGGGCCAAAATACCAGCAACAGTGTCTGAAAACCTTGTGAAGACTTACAGAAAACGTTTGACCTGTGTCATTGCCAACAAAGGGTATATAACAAAGTATTGAGAAACTTTTGTTATTGACCAAATACTTATTTTCCACCATAATTTGCAAATAAATTCATAAAAAATCCTACAATGTGATTTTCTGGATTTCTTTTTCTCATTTTGTCTGTCATAGTTGACGTGTACCTATGATGAAAATTACAGGCCTCTCTCATCTTTTTAAGTGGGAGAACTTGCACAATTGGTGGCTGACTAAATACTTTTTTTCCCCACTGTATATCCAATCCTGATATTGTACAGTATGTGTACAACTTCCCTAGAGACGTGTTTATCGTCAACGTTCAGTACCAGTCAAAAGTTGACACACCTGCTCATTCAAGGGTTTCTTTATTTTTACTATTTTCAAAGGCAAAGGGTGGCTACTTTGAAGAATGTAAAATCTATTTTGATTTGTTTAACACTTTTTTGGTTACTACATGATTCCATATGTGTTATTTCATAGTTTTGATGTCTTCACTATTATTCTACAATGTAGAAAATAGTAAAAATAAAGAAAAACCCTTGAATGAGTAGGTGTGTCCAAACTTTTGACAGGTACTGTACGTCCAAATCCTGATATTCTACAGTATGTGTACAACTTCCCTAGAGACGTGTATATTGTGAACGTCCTGATATTGGATAGCTTCTTTAGAGACATACAAACTCATAACTTTAGACTTTTTTGCATCAATTTATATCAATATATTGTAAACACACTCACCAGCCTCTTGTTCCTTCCAATGAAGTGTTTCTTTGTCAGCTCAGGATGCTGCTGTTGTCCTCATATCTACTGTCGAAGAGCCGGGAGACAGAAAATTGCTTATAACCTTTAAATTACGTTTCCAAACTGAGAATTAATCTAAACATTCTTATTAATCAGAATGAGTATTTTTGTTGTTGTTGTTGTAATGATTCATTCTTTCAACCCAAGCCAGCAGGACCGGTTAGATTATATTAGTGCGGAAAGCTATTTACATATAAATAGCATTTTGTTGCATTAATTCCAGCTCTGGGTAGAGGAAAACACGTTTAATGATTGCTTGGGTGGTAATCTGACTAAAACTGGTTCAAGAGACGTCTTTTAAATTAACCCAGTTTGTGTTTTTAAGGTCAATTGTTGATTAAGTGTACATTTGCCATGAAATAGCTTGTTGCATCTGATCCACTCCTGTCTCTCTGCCCAAAACACAACCTCTTCAATTCTCAGTCAAGTAATTTCAAGTGGTCCTTTACCCTCACACGAACTGGGGAATGCTGCCTACAACCTCATGATAATTGTGAGTGTTCCGAGAAAATCAGATAGCTTTGTCACACGCCAGACCAATTCTTGAGTTGAAGAACAAACTCACATTTGCTTAGCATTTCTGTAGAATAAAGCTACATCTACCTTAAAGATACTGAGTTAAGTTACTGTGTAAAGTTCAGCAGTGAGTCTTACCCGAGTGCTGGTCATGTCAGCGTTGAGCATGGTGGTTAGTGGGAGATGGTGAAGCGTTGAGGAGGCTCCTGCTGTCTGCCTGTGTCCCCTCCTACCTCTGCAGAGAACACCGTGAACTAACACCGAGGGGGATATGTCAACTCTAAAGTCACGGTTAAGCCAGCCCACCGCTGATGATGGGTTCTTCTATGGGGACAGCCAAATAACCCTTTTGGAACCTATTTTTTCTAAGAGTGTAGCTGTCTAATAAACTATAAGCTAAACATATCAGGGCTATGGGCTGGTCATACTCCTTCAATTAGACCCCACACAAAGCAGGGACTACTCAGTATAAAGGAACAGGGACTACTCAGTCTAAAGGAACAGGGACTACTCAGTCTAAAGGAACGGGGACTACTCAGTCTAAAGGAACGGGGACTACTCAGTCTAAAGGAACGGGGACTACTCAGTCTAAAGGAACGGGGACTACTCAGTCTAAAGGAACGGGGACTACTCAGTCTAAAGGAACGGGGACTACGCAGTCTAAAGGAACGGGGACTACTCAGTCTAAAGGAACAGGGACTACTCAGTCTAAAGGAACAGGGACTACTCAGTCTAAAGGAACAGGGACTACTCAGTCTAAAGGAACAGGGACTACTCAGTCTAAAGGAACAGGGACTACTCAGTCTAAAGGAACAGGGACTACTCAGTCTAAAGGAACAGGGACTACTCAGTCTAAAGGAACAGGGACTACTCAGTCTAAAGGAACGGGGACTACTCCGTCTAAAGGAACGGGGACTACTCAGTCTAAAGGAACAGGGACTACTCAGTCTAAAGGAACAGGGACTACTCAGTCTAAAGGAACAGGGACTACTCAGTCTAAAGAAACAGGGACTACTAAGTCTAAAGGTACAGGGACTACTCAGTCTAAAGGAACGGGGACTACTCCGTCTAAAGGAACGGGGACTACTCAGTCTAAAGGAACAGGGACTACTCAGTCTAAAGGAACAGGGACTACTCCATCTAAAGGAACGGGGACTACTCAGTCTAAAGGAACAGGGACTACTCAGTCTAAAGGAACAGGGACTACTCAGTCTAAAGGAACGGGGACTACTCAGTCTAAAGGAACGGGGACTACTCAGTCTAAAGGAACGGGGACTACTCCGTCTAAAGGAACGGGGACTACTCCGTCTAAAGGAACGGGGACTACTCAGTCTAAAGGAACGGGGACTACTCAGTCTAAAGGAACAGAGACTACTCAGTCTAAAGGAACAGGGACTACTCAGTCTAAAGGAACAGGGACTACTCAGTCTAAAGGAACAGGGACTACTCAGTCTAAAGGAACAGGGACCACTCAGTCTAAAGGAACAGGGACTACTCAGTCTAAAGGAACAGGGACTACTCAGTCTAAAGGAACAGGGACCACTCAGTCTAAAGGAACAGGGACTACTCAGTCTAAAGGAACAGGGACTACTCTGTCTAAAGTCCATTCAAAAGGACTCTCTATTCTAATTATTAATGAGTGAGTTTCTGAGTCATACAGGGAGTAGTCAGTACTGTAACACTGTGAGGTGAAGCTGATATAACTGAGACGTAATGTGACCTATTAGACATGTTACTGTAGGACATTACCACAGTTGGTTGGAACTGCATCAGAATAGATTTAGGATCATCTAGATTTATAGGATGTTAGCTTGAGGTTTGAAAATATTTTTCCCTTACAGTATGTGTTGCTTTTCAGGTACACCATTATCACTGATTAACAGACAAGGCATTACATTGATCTATGGACTTATTTTCTCTGACTGGTATCCAAAGCCAACCTGAGTTTACCCCCTGTGTTTGAGAGATCTGTGAGTTGAGCCCTGTGTTTGTGAGATCTGTGAGTTAAGCCCTGTATTTGAGAGATCTTTGAGTTTAGCTCTGTGTTTGAGAGATATGTGATTTGAGCCATGTGTTTGTGAGATCTGTGAGTTAAGCCCTGTGTTTGAGAGATCTGTGAGTTGAGCCCTGTGTTTGAGATAACTGTGAGTTGAGCCTTGTGTTTGAGAGCTGTGAGTTTGAGCCCTGTGTTTGAGAGAATGTGTGTTTGATCTCTGTTTTTGAGAGATCTTGTTTGAGCCCTGTGTTTGAGCGATCTGTGTTGAGGCCCTGTGTTTGAGAGATCTTTGAGTTGGCCCCTGTGTTTGAGAGATATGAGATGTGAGTTGAGACTGTGATTGAGCCCTGTGTTCGAGATTGTTTGAGCACTGGTTTCAGCGTATGTGAGTTGACCCTGTGTTGAGGTAGGTTGGCCCTGTGTTGAGCTATATGTGAGTGAGCCTTGTTGAGAGATGTGTGATGTGTTATTGAGTTGAGCCTGTCTTGAGCGATTGTGGTTGAGCCCTGTTTTGAGAGATCTGTTAGTTAGCCGTGTTTGAGAGATCTGTGAGTGAGCCCTGTTTGAGAGTAGTGAGCCTCTTGTTTGAGAGATTGTGAGTTGAGCCCTTGTTTGAGAGATTGTGGTGAGCCCTGTGTTGAGAGATCTGTGAGTTGAGCCCTGTTTTGAGAGATCTGTGAGTTGAGCCCTGTGTTTGAGTAGATCTGTTAGTTGAGCCCTGTGTTTGAGAGATCTGTGAGTTGAGCCCTGTGTTTGAGAGAGATTGTGAGTTGAGCCCTGTGGTTTGAGAGATCTGTGAGTTGAGCCCTGTGTTTGAGAGATATGTGAGTTGAGCCATGTGTTTGAGAGATATGTGAGTTGATCCCTGTGTTTGAGAGATCTGTGAGTTGAGCCCTGTGTTTGAGCGATATGTGAGTTGAGCCCTGTGTTTGAGAGATATGTGAGTTGAGCCCTGTGTTTGAGCGATATGTGAGTTGACCCCTGTGTTTGAGAGATATGTGTGTTGAGCCCTGTGTTTGAGAGATATGTGAGTTGAGCCCTGTGTTTGAGAGATATGTGAGTTGAGCCCTGTGTTTGAGAGATATGTGAGTTGAGCCCTGTGTTTGAGAGATATGTGAGTTGAGCCCTTGTTTGAGAGATATGTGAGTTGAGCCCTGTTTGAGAGATCTGTGAGTTGAGCCCTGTGTTTGAGAGATCTGTGAGTTGAGCCCTGGTGTTGAGAGATCTGTGAGTTGAGCCCTGTCTTTGAGAGATATGTGAGTTGAGCCCTGTACTTGAGAGATATGTGAGTTGAGCCCTGTGTTTGAGAGATATGTGAGTTGAGCCCTTGTTTGAGAGATATGTGAGTTGATCCCTGTGTTTGGAGAGATTGTGAGTTGAGCCCTGTGTTTGAGCGATATGTGAGTTGAGCCCTGTGTTTGAGCGATGTGTGAGTTGAGCCCTGTGTTTGAGAGATCTGTTAGTTGAGCCCTGTGTTTGAGAGATCTGTGAGTTGAGCCCTGTGTTTGAGAGATCTGTGAGTTGAGCCCTGTGTTTGAGAGATCTGTGAGTTGAGCCCTGTGTTTGAGAGATCTGTGAGTTGAGCCCTGTGTTTGTGAGATCTGTGAGTTGAGCCCTGTGTTTGAGAGATCTGTGAGTTGAGCCCTGTGTTTGAGAGATCTGTGAGTTGAGCCCTGTGTTTGAGAGATCTGTGAGTTGAGCCCTGTGTTTGAGAGATCTGTGAGTTGAGCCCTGTGTTTGAGAGATCTGTGAGTTGAGCCCTGTGTTTTGAGAGATATGTGATTTGAGCCCTGTGTTTGAGAGATCTGTGAGTTGAGCCCTGTGTTTGAGAGATCTGTGAGTTGGAGCCCTGTGTTTGAGAGATCGTGAGTTGAGACCCTGTGTTTGAGAGATCTGTGAGTTGAGCCCTGTGTTTGAGAGATCTGTGAGTTGAGCCCTGTGTTTGAGAGATCTGTGAGTTGAGCCCTGTGTTTGAGAGATCTGTGAGTTGAGCCCTGTGTTTGTGAGATCTGTGAGTTGAGCCCTGTGTTTGAGAGATCTGTGAGTTGAGCCCTGTGTTTGTGAGATCTGTGAGTTGAGCCCTGTGTTTGAGATGAGATATTAAGCTCTAGCTGTATCCCTTAGCACATCAGGGAACCCCCAGCTGTTCCATGTATTTGATCTATTCCAGAGCTAGCACACCTGATTGAACTTGTCAACTAATCACCAAGCCCTTGACTAGGGGAATCAGTTGAGCTAGTTCAGAGCTACAACATAATTGTGAAAGGTCTGGGGGTCCCCGAGGAGAGGTTTGAGAACCACTGTCTTAGCGGAGGCTCAGTGGATTGTGAACATTCCTGTCAACACAGCCACAGAGACACAGAGAGGGACGTAGAGGACCAGCCTGGATACTGTAGAAGAGGAGGTAACACAGAGGACCAGCCTGGATACTGTAGAAGAGGAGGTAACACAGAGGACCAGCCTGGATACTGTAGAAGAGGAGGTAACACAGAGGACCAGCCTGGATACTGTAGAAGAGGAGGTAACAGAGAGGACCAGCCTGGATACTGTAGAAGAGGAGGTAACACAGAGGACCAGCCTGGATACTGTAGAAGAGGAGGTAACATAGAGGACCAGCCTGGATACTGTAGAAGAGGAGGTAACAGAGAGGACCAGCCTGGAAACTGTAGAAGAGGAGGTAACAGAGAGGACCAGCCTGGATACTGTAGAAGAGGAGGTAACAGAGAGAACCAGCCTGGATACTGTAGAAGAGGAGGTAACACAGAGGACCAGCCTGGATACTGTAGAAGAGGAGGTAACAGAGAGGACCAGCCTGGATACTGTAGAAGAGGAGGTAACAGAGAGGACCAGCCTGGATACTGTAGAAGAGGAGGTAACAGAGAGGACCAGCCTGGATACTGTAGAAGAGGATGGTAAACACAGAGGACCAGCCTGGATACTGTAGAAGAGGAGGTAACACAGAGGACCAGCCTGGATACTGTAGAAGAGGAGGTAACACAGAGGACCAGCCTGGATACTGTAGAAGAGGAGGTAACACAGAGGACCAGCCTGATACTGTAGAAGAGGGAGGTAACACAGAGGACCAGGCCTGGATACTTGTAGAAGAGGAGGTAACAGAGAGGGACCAGCCTGGATACTGTAGAAGAGGAGGTAACAGAGAGGACCAGCCTGGATACTGTAGAAGAGGAGGGAGGTAACAGAGAGGACAGCCTGGATACTGTAGAAGAGGAGGTAACAGAGAGGACCAGCC